TTAATATGCTTTACATTCTGTACTTAGGGATCTTTTCATAATTTATGCAAAGTTAACGCATACATCACTGAGAACTTTGGTGTACATGGTATTAAAATATTCCCTGTGAAATTTTAAACGATTCCGAAACATAAAACAGTATTTAAAGACCATCCCCTCCCCTACTTATAGCTTTAATCCTCATTGCCTTGGTTGACACATGTCATCGTATCCCAGTTGCGTAGATCGATACTTATGGTGCCAATCATCGGATTGTCTGGTCCAGAGTCGGTTGCTAACAGACCGCCGTCATATAATTGGAATATTGCTGAGTGCGGCGTTAAAAAACAAACACACATATAATTTAGATACCTTTAAGTCTGAGACAAACCTGGTGACCCCCAAATATACCTTCTGGACATGTCATGACAGTGCATATATCAACCATACGCGAATATCTCTTGAGTCACTGACACAGATCTGAGCTGCTTCGCAACCCGTTCATATTTCACTGTTACTGGGTTACAAGTATAGACTGTATGTACCGACTGGCCTTACACGCGTCAGTCAGTGCAACGACAGTGTCCAACGCTCGAGTATGCATGTCCGTTATACAGTATCACAACCGATAAAAATGCATTATCATGCATTATGAATTTCATTAACATATCCTTTAACCTTTTCTTTGCTGTAGGTTTACCTCGTCAGCCGTACAAGGGTTCATCGAGTGCATTTTGGGAAGACCGCTGTGCCGCAATGTGAGCGGGCTTCCCCATGCCTGTAGGCCGGCGCGGGAATGCGGTGTTTATTTTCAGGCATTTTTCGTACCGTGAATGGATAGAATTTGATAGAACCTAAAGGTCATTGTCTCTTAATGGGCTCTGGTTCACTGAGTGCATAAAAGCAGACGATAGATTGATGTGAACCGGCGGGAGATAGCGACTGCTTGCTCCATTTTCTCGCCTGTACACTTTATACGCCAAGCTATTAGTTGACAGGGTACGTTGCATACGTATAGGTGAACGGGTACGTGTGTCGTTGATAGCACAGTGATGAACACTTGGTGAATATAACAGTCCTGAGTTGTTTGTTGACTAACATGCGATTACATTCATACACACTGACAGGGGCTGTTTACGTGAACACAGAGAGAATCAGGTACAGAGATTAAAGTCCCCTTTTACGAGAACACATATACTGTCTCCTGCCATCAATAACATATTGCATAGATGATAACGAACCGATCACACAATCGTTTTTAGGCTGGGGGGTCATGCGATTTGTTACAACTAATATGTTCATAAATATTTTTAACGAATCGAAGAATGTCAATGTTTGTACACTGCAATTGGAAAGTCAGAATGCTTCAAGTATAGCATAAGCATATCAACCGTGTCAATATACCTTGTTACATATATATTTCTGCAGGACATTCTGCTAAGTATTCTTGGTTATCTCAGCAAAGTACATATCTGATCTTAGTATAGACCCGTGAAGATCCGGGTTAGAATTGGTCTTCAGCAAACCATTCTTGTCGCAAAAGTGAGTGAGATCGTGGGGTCAGACTCGCTGACATATTCGATGCATGTCATCGTTTACCAAGTTGTGTAGATCGATGCTCATAATGTAAATCACTGGATTGTCTGGTCCAGGGTCGATCATTCACAGAGCAGCGTCATATAGCTGGAATACTGCTGAGTGCTGCGTAAAACCACAAACTAATAACACACACCAAAAAACCCAAACCCGACAGGGCCCAGAACATGAACGATATATATGGGAACCGTATGGCCACAATGTCTGATAATTAAGAACTTTCCTCAAATGACCGAAGTGCATTCTAAGCTGCCCTATTATTGGTGTGTCGCATCGTTCGAACCATTTTGGGACGGTTCTCACGATTAATCCATGGTATCCCTGATCCTAACCGCCAACCGCAGATCACAGACTGTGCTGATAAAACTGTATTTCTGTGCCTATGACCTTGAACTGCTTGTTTGGCTCACCGATTGGACTTTCAATGGTTATTGCTTTCGTAGCGCAGTTTCGTAGCGCGATGTTGTCCCCGGGGACAGATACTGGAGTACATGTACGTGCAGTTAACTGAGTGCATGGGCGTATGCGGGGTGAATGGGTATGCGGTCATACGAGTGCATGCATGGATGTAGTTGGGCATGATGCTATTGCTATAAAACGCAATGTATAGGCATGTATCTCCAAACATCATATGCAGAATACGTCAATGTATCAATACACATTAACTAAAACACCGGAGAGTCGAACTTCGATGTGTCGAGCTGACGGTTATTGCGAAATAACCTTGGTCCTTATTCCATATATTGTCTTAATTTTGCATCTGTGTTGAAACTCGGATGACTCGAAGTATTTCCATAGGTCCTTTCAACTTCGACACAAGGTGTGTCGAACTTACGGTATTGTGAAAAAGCCTTGCTCCTTATTCCATATTTTGTCTTGGGGCGGTGGGGTAGCCTAGTGGGTAAAGCGTTCGCTCGTCACGCCGGAAGTCCGGATTCGATTCCCCCATGGGTACAAGTTGTGAAGCCCATTTCTGGTGTTTCCCGCCGTGATATTGCTGGAATATTGCTAAAAGCGGTGTAAGGCTAAAATCACTCGCATTTTGTGTTAATTTTGCATCTGTGTCGAAACTTTGATGGCTCGAAGTATTTGCGTAGGTCACTTCAACTTCGACACGGCTTTTGACCGTTTCACAATGTTTTGTTTGTTTCCTTACAAAATCGAATGTTGTCGTCGTCAGGATGGTGTAAAAAGTCCTCAACTGCTAGTCAGTTCTTATCTCCTAATTGTACTTTATTTCGGTACAGGGGCGGTTGGGTAGCCTGGTGGTTAAAGCGATCACCGGGTTCGAGTCCACACTTGGGTACAATGTGTGAAGCCAATTTCTATTGTAACATTTGGAGAATATTTATAGCAGGGTACACGAAATGTCTGCCCTTAGTAAAGGAACGACATAAGTACTGATTCTCTGGCGCAGTGATATCAACAATTGTGGAGGTGAGGTGAGGAGAAGTTTGGTTTTACATCGTGCTTGAGCATATTTCGCTCATATGACGACGTGCATGCGTGTGCATGTGTATGTGCGGCTGCTTGTACTAGCCCAGACTGAAGCTGGTTTTATAGTGCTAGCCCGCTGAGATAGCACGCCGCAGTGAAGCATGAATATCCCACTCAGACACATTATGCTGACTCTGAGCCGACCAGTCCTTGTTGTACCCAATAATGCCGAGCGCCAGGTACCAACAAGTACCATATATTAACGTCTTTTGGTATGACGCGGTCGGGGATCGAACCCGGGACCTTCCGCTCTCCGGTCTACAATTGTGGAAGATGAACTGAACCCGAGCCTTGAGTTTCTCGTTATTTTGAAAAAAGAAAAGAAAAGAAAACCAGCAAACAAATAAAACGCATGAAAGGTGAACCCTACAGGTGAATCATTAATCTAACCGAGATGGTCAGGTGACATTACGTTATAAGTGTTTGACGTCAATGGATGACGTTGTATTGTATTGGTTTCAACATTGAAGCAATGCGACCTACTCACCAGCCAGAACTGAGAGTGGCTAAAATGCATTTGTAGAAATATCGGAAAGTTCTAACACTCGACTAGTCTGTCAAACAGACCCTGAAACAAATATACCCAATACAGCCCATGCAAGTCTAGAATATGTGAGTCTACATTTCTTCCACAGTTTCAGAAAGGGAAGAAAGTCTCTGGACTCTTTTTTATCATATTTTATAAACATAATTTAGGAACTTTTAAGTGACAAGATGTTTACATTCATTTTGACGTTTTGGGTCATACGTAGAGAATCTCGCCCGAGTGTCTTTTGATATCAATTGTAAACCAAAAGTCACTGTGTTCTTTAATCTGATTGGTTAAAAAACGTGATCAAATGGTATTTGATTCCCGGAGATTCTCTGCGTATTAATACATACAAACATCGCTCACACCATTGTATTGTACGTCGTCAGCTGAGATGACGTCATTAAAATCATATTGTGACGTAAAGTCCGAATGAAGTCACAAATGAGCAGTTCTAGATGCTACCATGGGAGACAGCCGAAACGGCCGGCTGATGACATTTCACTGCTGTACCCGTACTCGATGTCAATTAGAAGATAAACATTATGTTGGCGAATTTCCGGGTGCTATTGAGTATTTGAAGCACGGGAATCCATTTGGAACCGACGGCGTCGCCAACACATAATGTTTATCTCCTAAATATCATATACCTATGCATGCATTATTTTGAAGGGCTCTACACAAAAGTTACAGTTTATGTTATGCAAATACCCATTGTTATCGTACATTATAGTCATCATTGTTGACAGGAGGCAACATGACGTCATGGCATATGATGACATCACAATGTATTGTTGACGTCATGCAGATAGTGCGAGCTTCTGGGCACGGTACTTTCTGAACGCGTTAAAGATTTAAACATATGGATAAGAGTTCATTCGCTGCTGACTTACAAACTTCTGTCCAAATTCACGTTTTACATCGCAACAAGAATGAAACTAATTTTGTAAAATTACAATGACTGTCACCCCAGAACTTGACATCAGATAATTAGTTGAACAAATATTATCTGTGTTTTGACACTGCAAATTTTGAAATAGTCCTAACAGTTTTAAATCTTCTACACAACCTGGATTTCGTTCTTGCTATAACAGATACATTAAACGTTAGATATAAAAACCGAACATAACATGCATTGTACTTAAGCGGAAATCTTGTCTCAATTCAAATGCATGTACATGTATATTTAGTCAAACTAATATTTATAACTAGTGATTGAACGCTGAGATTTTGCACTTAATAACCCCTTTTGCAAAGCATACATAGCCCTAATACAAGGTTAAGATTATGTAAAGAGGTTCTCTGGTGCTTACTTTGTACTGAAAACTCGTTCAAGGGAACCAGTCGAATTTCTAGGTCACCGCTAGGGGCGTGAGGCTATATATAGGCCAAACAAACGTCGAAGCTACACAGTGTTACAGTGTGAGCTTGTCGCAAAATGGAAGTGCTCGGCCTGCTTGATGTACCTATCTGGTTGTTGCTATCGACTGGTATCTTGGTAGTATACATCAAGTAAGTATACAAATTGATTATGCAGTAAAGGTAGAGATATCTTGGAACATGAATGACAGTCGTGATGAAATAAGGTAAGAATCCATTCATCTTACATGAAGCGTGAAAGAGGTAAACAAGAGGTAGTGTTGCCTGTGGTAAAGAAACGCTAATAAAATCCTACCAAGTTGGCAAATGTAATTTTTGAATTAAAAGTTAACGCATATTTTTAAAGTTTGATATACATGCTAAAGTGCTAAAAATGATTTGTGAGAAGTTGGTGTCATAAACATACCTCAGTGTTTAAACTTTAATTAAAGAAGTTTGTAACCACAATTGTAAAAAGCATAAGATATGTCATAAGATGTATCTGGAACGATTATGATCAGTGAGAAAATGTTACTTCATTAAAGCTGATTTCAGTTACATGGCAGAAAGTTTATAAAAAGGTATTTGATGAAATAAACTGAGGAAGAGATCATCAATACTGTCAGAAGCTTTCCCTGAACTAATTTAAGTAACTGGGTTAGCCCAGTGGTTTAGGTGTTTGCTTGTCATGCTGAATGCCCGGGTTCGATTACCACATGGTTTAAGCCCATTTTTGGCATCCCCAGCCATAACATTGCTGGAATATTGCTAAACGTGGTGTAAAACACAACTTACTCACTCCCATGTGTACCCTGCCCACGCAGTGAGTTTGACCACTGATTTTTAATGAATGTTGATTGTGCCAAGTAGGACCAATTTCCCCAAAGAATTGTATTGGAATTCTAACAATGTCACCAGATTAATAAATACAGCTGACTTTATGAAGCTACTCCACAATGATATGCTTGAAGCAGATGACATTGTAAATTACTAAACAGATTAATGTGTAAGCCATGCATGATTCTGGGTAAGAAATGGATAATGGTCCAGATGGTGAGGTTCATTGATTTGGTTGATAGCAACAGCGATGGATATGGTTCATACTATCAACCACTGGTTTGTCTGGTCCCATCTTGATTCTATACCTTCAGTCGTCATATAGCTTGAATATTGTGCATATACATAAGTGCATCATGAAACAACATTTGAGGTATTTATTATTCTTTAATGGAAGTATTCCATTGCATTGATTATGTTTCCAAAATCAGGGGGTGTTTGAAATCATGTTCTAAAGGGATACTTTATATTGCATTTTTGAGACCTAAGGGTTATTTTTTTGTCCTAATATTATTAACCAAACATGGAATTAATGGAAAGAACACAAAACATTTTTATTCAAGAATTGTCAAATTGTGGGTCAGCGGATGTATAAGCCAATTACACATGGAATAATGTCAAAGATTTGATATGCTCTAAAAGTGAGGGTATAACCTAAACTCACCAAGTATTGTTGTGTTTAGTTTCATGTCATGGCACCATGGGGTATTCAAGAAGCTGGGGATAGATGGCCCCCCTCCGAGAATGATAGTCGGGAATCTGATGCCAATCTTGAGGAAAGTGAGTATATCCTGACAGTGCTTTGATCACATTTAGTTAGGTTTGTGCCTTTTGTACAGATCAGAATAACAAATCAAATCAGACATTTGAGCAAACCATAAAATTCTCAGCAAAGCAATCTTTGCAGATCTGACAAGCTTATCCTTCTATTTCATAATGACTTGATGCAAAAATTGCTCCATTTGACATGATTTGTTGTGCAAAGTTAGACTGATTGGCACAAAGAGATTTTTCTGAAGGTTAATTGCAGTTGTTGACAAGAGATCTAAAAGAACTTTTGAATTGGATTAATTGGACGTTTTCTAATGATTAAACCTGATTGTGACCTTAGAGTTTTGCATATTTTCTCCACAATGATCAGGTGCACAGGTTAATCTCATATCTGAATAACTGATATGTTGCTGAGCTTGCATGTTTGAATTTTGTATAAACAGAATTGTGCACATTTCAATTTTGTATAAATAGAATTATTCATGCCTTAAATCTATTTTAAAAGAATTGTGCATATTTCAATTTTGTATGAACAGAATTATCCATAAATGAAACATAGAACTTTATGGATGACAACTTCTTGACAACTAGAGCGACGTTTCGATGTAGATTCTTACATCGTTTTCACTTTGAACTCGAAACGTCGCTCTATGCAATAGATAAGAAGTTGTCATCCATAAAGTTGTATATTTCATTTTTAAGTCACCAACTTCTAGAATGCCCAATTTTGTATGAGCAGAAAAATCCATGTTTCAATTTTGTATTAACGTAATTATGACTATTTCAATTTTGTATGAGCAGAAAAATCCATGTTTCAATTTGGTATTAACGTAATTATGCATATTTAAACAATTGTTTCTCTCCAAATGAAAGGGTCAAGAGAAATGCCATTTTCACTAAGTCTTTGCATGTATGTTGTTTAGTTGGTCGTTGATAGTGAGGTGACTATTTCCAGGGTATGCATGGAGCTGACTTGTGCTGGACTCAGACTTATGGAAAAGTTGTGGGGTAAGTTACCCTGGGTTTAGGGGTGTTGGGGTAACCTGGTTGCAATGCTCTTTAGTCAAGCCATATGCCCAGGTTCAATTTTCCACATGGGTACAATGTGTGGACACATTTCTAGTATCCCTCACTGGGATACTGCTCGTATATTACTAAAAGTGGTCACAAACCAAACTTGCTAACTCATTCTGGGGTTGACAAGATATTTTTCTACAGGACAATGTCTGTTGTAATATCATGTTATGATTAACAATCCATTTCCGCTTTATTTATATTTCTCCTAAAGTCCACTCTTTTAATTACACAATTCTTAATTTTTGTATCAATCCAACATGGCACAGAAAGTAGACAGAAGCTGAAACACAGCTGACTAGTCTGTCATTCTTGTATGGTGTAACAGATATCATGACAATGTCGACAATCATTGATAGTTGTGAAACTTTCAGTCATGATGAACAGCATGATAATGACAATCTTTTCAGAGGTTAGCTGTTCTAAGATGCTTTGCTAAAAGATCAAAGGTGCTGACAGTACTTTATCAGGCCTGGATTTCTCAAAACAAACTTAGTTTTTACTCCAATCTCAAACTCACTCTCCTACCCAGAGTTCCATGCGGCAAGCCAGCATAGTATCTCTGCCACAGGCCAGAAAAATGTGACGATTCGTCACATCTTGCACTGTCCATTCAATATAATGTACATATTTCTCAACTCTTTTATTTTTGACGAGTCTACACAACTAAGTAAACATCTTTGATAGAATGGTTTAGTTTCATTGAGAAAATATCCTAAAACATGTAACACTATTTCGATTTGCGTAGCGATCCTTTGTTTACATAGGTTGTACGGCTCCATGTGCTGTCATCGAGGCTGATGGAGAGCAAACGATGCAGCCAGTTTGATATCTAAATATGTACTGTCATAGACCTTACTGTCGCAGTTGTGGAAGAATATATATGTAACAATGTAAAACATTATGAAGAAAGCTTTCGTGAGTCCAGTCTCTTCTTATTTGGAATATGCGCGTTTGATTACAAACAAGAGAAAAGTCCGGTCACATGATATGCAAATTAGCCTGTGGCAGTGATGTTATGTTAAGTCATGGCTGTGCCAGAGTGTGTCTCAAACTGCGTTTCACAGTTTGAAACAGCTGAATTTTTAACTCAACTGCATTTTCAAAATATAAAAGCCCAAACAACTTAAGTAATCTACCCACCAAACTCAAACTGTCTTCTATAGTTTGAGTTTAATACCACTTTCAGTTCATTCTGTGAAATGCATTTTCCTGTGTCTTCTCAGACCTGAGTAAAAACTCGAACTTAAGTCAAAACTGAGACTTAAGTTTGTTTTGAGAAATCGGGGCCTGGTGATAAAGTACACTTTTTGCTTGACATCGCACTGTCTTAACGTCACTATGCCATTTTCGTCTGTACCCTCGTTATCAAACATACCCTTGGTAACCGACGTCACAGTGAATGTCAGTTGTCTTTGCCTCGTACAGCCTCGTACAGTAAACTACTCCATAGCAACCTGTTTTTTGGTTTGCAGTTGCTTCATACGGCTATCATCACGAGAGGAAACATTATTGTTTGATGGATAAAATGTCTCAGTTCGACTCACAATTTAACAGCGACACAGCAATGTTCGCAATGTGTACATTCCCACAATGCGTCCGTGGAATGTCGCATGACTAGTCAGATTCATCTGGATGTACTCGCTAGCGTCCTCATGCTTTAACTATAATAGTTCAGGGTGAAAGTGTGCTTTATTACACTATAGATTGTGGTGGAGTGAACTGTATTTCTTAGTATATGATAACACAATGTACTTGAACCAGTGTCAAACAGACAAATGTTGAAAGAAATGTATCAGTTCACAAATGTATGTATATTTTGACCTATCCAAGTTATATTTGTTACTGAATAATGCTGGAACCATGTTGCGATCCAGGTTGTAGCAGGTAGTGAATAATGCTGGAACCATGTTTTGATCCAGGTTGTAGTAGGAAATGAATAATGCTGGAACCATGTTGTGATCCAGGTTGTAGCAGGTAGTGAATAATGCTGGAACCATGTCGTGACCCAGGTTGTAGCAGGTAGTGAATAATGCTGGAACCATGTTGTGATCCAGGTTGTAGCAGGTAGTGAATAATGCTGGAACCATGTTGTGATCCAGGTTGTAGCAGGTAGTGAATAATGCTGGAACCATGTTGTGATCCAGGTTGTAGCAGGTAGTGAATAATGCTGGAACCATGTCATGACCCAGGTTGTAGCAGGTAGTGAATAATGCTGGAACCATGTCGTGACCCAGGTTGTAGCAGGTAGTGAATAATGCTGGAACCATGTCGTGACCCAGGTTGTAGCAGGTAGTGAATAATGCTGGAACCATGTCGTGACCCAGGTTGTAGCAGGTAGTGAATAATGCTGGAACCATGTCGTAACCCAGGTTGTAGCAGGTAGGGAATAATGCTGGAACCATGTTGTGATCCAGGTTGTAGTAGGTAGTGAATAATGCTGGAACCATGTTGTGATCCAGGTTGTAGCAGGTAGTGAATAATGCTGGAACCATGTCACGACCCAGGTTGTAGCAGGTAGTGAATAATGCTGGAATCATGTTGTGATCCAGGTTGTAGCAGGTAGTGAATAATGCTGGAACCATGTTTTGATCCAGGTTGTAGTAGGAAGTGAATAATGCTGGGACCATGTCGTGATCCAGGTTGTAGCAGGTAGTGAATAATGCTGGAACCATGTCATGACCCAGGTTGTAGCAGGTAGTGAATAATGCTGGAACCATGTCATGACCCAGGTTGTAGCAGGTAGTTATGTTGCAGGATCTTCATGACCCGGCTACCAATGATTCTCATATCAGATGATGACATGTTGAAACAAATAATGGTGAAGGACTTCAACCATTTCCCCAACAGACAGGTCAGATATCTTCTGTATAAATTGTATATTATATTCCATGTTATTTAGACTGACTGACTGACTGAGTTTGGTTTTACGCTGCTTTTAGCAATATTCCAGCAACATCACGGCGGGGGACACAAGAAATGGGCTTAACACATAGTACCCATGTTGGGATTCAAACCCGGGTCTTCGGCGTGATGAACCAACGCTTTGACCACTAGGCTACCCCACCGCCCCATGTTATTTAGAAGTGACAGACAGTAAGTGTCTACTGATATCAATTATATCAACACGAGTTGATAAAGTTACAAATATCTGTGGCTTGCAGAGGATATTTTTACCTTTATCAACGAGTGCTAATATAATTGATATCAGTAGACACGAGGGTGAGATTCTATTTATCATCAAAATCATTCTTCATTAGTTTGCAATGAAAAATGTACATCTCTCAACACTGCAGCGATGTCATAGCATTGTGACGTCATCAAGTTGATGACGTCATAGCATAGTCAGGGCATTGTAGAAAATCTACTGTCAAAACGATATCTCCTAGGAGATATCATATGATCTTACACAAGCGCTATCTCCTGTGGAACACAGTTTTGGATGATAAACACAAATAACCCAGTGGTAATATTTAGCTCACCTTGATTCCAAACCTTATGAGATAATGGCATGGTATGATGTCTTTAGTGTGTCTTCTCTTCCTTATCTATACTTTTGTAACCAGTGAAGATCCAGGTTAGAATCGGTCTTCAGTAACCCATGCTTGTCGTAAGAGGCGACTTATGGGATCAGGTGGTCAGGCTTGCTGACTTGGTTGACACATGTCATCATATCCCAATTGTGTGGGTTGATACTCATGATGTTGATCACTGGATTGTCTGGTCCAGACTCAGTTATATAGCTGGAATATTGCTGAGTGTAACATTGTCACTTGTCAGCTTTCTAAAATGATTAGGGTTCATTTCTTAAGACCGTAAATTCAGAACTGTTTTTCTTAGAGAGAAACCAATGACATGAAACACCCTCCATGGTACACCCTTTTGGATGTAGATGCTATTCTGCTTAGTGATGAAAGCATGTGTGAAATATCCTCAACAGTAATATAATAATTTGACTTTAACATTTTGAATTTGGATCTCCCTGATTATGTTCATTTTCGTAGAAACAGAAAACAGATGTGCTTACTTGAATGCTTAGTTCACTTGTAATATGAATAAAGAAGCCTTGACTTTCCTGGCTAGCAACCAGTTATTGCCACAAACCAGTTATCGCCAACGCCTTGCTGTAGCGCTTGCACAGACAGCTTGACTTGTACTTCCGTAGCATTTCACACATTGACACATCACAAAAGTGATAGGCTACGAGAGTTAAAATCAAGCTGTCTGCGTAAGTGCTACATACAGGTCTTGGTGATAACTGATCGCTAGCCAGTAGATGTTTTGTCAGATCTTCATGCAGTTAGAGTAAACGGTCTAATTCTAATGAGATTGCAAAGTATATGCCTTGCTGTTTGTCACTTTATTCACATTCTAATTATGTTTATCACTACATGTATCTTTTTATTCTCAAAGAATTTGATTTATAATTTTTTCAGTCACACTCAGCAGTTCAATTTTTTTTAAGTGTAAGGTAGTCTCTTTTATGTTACAAGATAAAAGTGTACTGTTCCAGTCATAGTACTCATCTGCTGTCAGCTCTCTACCTGAGGAGACACGCCACCATTTCTGTATCAGCTTTGTTTAACCTCAACTTTGTCAATGCAGCCTCTTCCTAAGGCAATGGTTGGCTCCCCGATGGATCAGTCTCTGGTTTTCTCTAAAGATGACCATTGGCGCTTCATGCGGAACTTCATGACACCAACGTTTAGTGCAGGCAAGCTGAAGCGGGTGAGACTCATTTATCTTCATTGATCATAGACATGTAGAATAGGTTCTCAGTACCCCATGCCTGAAAGAAGTGCTTTCTAAAATGTGTCACAACATGTGACCTGTTTGAAAGTGTGTCGATATATTTGGAGAAAGTTGAGGTTGTGTCAGTGGTTTGATGGACAGAGCATCTGTCAGGTGAACACAAGGTTGAGGAGGTTCCGATCCCTGACTGATTCAGACAAGAAGATGTTGTAAGACGGAACCCATGAAGATCCAGTTTAGAAATGGTCTTCAGTAACCCATGCTTGTCGTAAAAGGCGACTTATGGGATCGGGTGGTCAGGCTCGCTGACTTGGTTGACCCATGTCATCGTATCCCAATTGCGTAGATCGATGCTCATGATGTTGATCACTGGATTGTATGGTCCAGACTCGATTATTTACAGACAACTGCCTTATAGCTGGAATATATATTTCACTAAATATATATGATATACATATTCCTGGTGAGCAATAGTGCAATGGCACTATTTTAACATTTCAAGTTTGTGATTTTCCTTTGATTTGGTTGTTTGTTGTTTAACACCACACTCGGCAATTTTCCAGCTATGACAGTGGTTTGTAAATAATTAAGTGTCATCCAGTGATTGACGTCATGAGCATTGATCTACACATTTGGGAGACAATGACAGATTTGCATTTGAATGAAATTTAAGGCTTTCCTCTGGTATATCTACTATCCAAACTGTTCAGATAAATAATGTTAGTCTTGCAATGTGGACGTAAATTGTTTATATTCTGTTTCATTGTTAGATGATGCCAGTGTTCAACAAGATGAGTGACAGGCTTGTGGACTTGTTGAAAGATCGGGCAGAGAACAAGGAGGAGGTTGAGATAAAGAGGTATGTTGTGTATATTTGGTATAAGGTTGGTATATAGTGAGCACTGAAAGAAAGAATGTAACTTGACTCAGACTTAGTAGGTGAAGACAGCTGTAAGTAGCCCATTTTGTGGCTTGTCAACTTGTCAAACACTTTGTGCGAAAACAAAACATGTTGACGCTTTTCCCTCTCTATACTAATTTACTAAGATAAATACTCCAACAAGTTACATAGTTTCAAAAGAGAGGATTACAGTAGTCAAATACATTCAGACTTTTAGCTATACTGCCCATGTTAGGATTTCAGGGAACGATTGGTCCCAGTTATGCTTGTAATAAGAGATGACCACTGTGTTACCAGTAGTGCTGCAACAACAGAAATGCGTGCACCTTGAAAGATTGTTTTTGGTAAAAATAATTACAACAAACTTCTCTGCTAAATGTCAGATTTGTTAAGAGCACTTTTATGTCTCAAACTTCACATAGTTATGTCTCCCCCCGAAGGGTCCCATTGTTTCTGGAACATAACTCTAAACCTACTTGGACAATCTTCACCAAATTTGGTATAGTGCCTATCATGTAGATGTGCCTTTTGGGGGTTTGAGTTTTTTTTCAAGTGTATTTTTTATCCCCCTGGCATGTAATGCGGGGGGATATAGTCGACGCCTGGTCTGTCCATCCGTCCGTCCGTAATCATTTTGTATCCAGAGCATAACTCAAGAACCGTTCAATATTTTTCAACAAAACTTGGTAGATATATCAAACAGAACCTTAAGTGGTGCCTTTTGCTATTTGCAGATTTTTGGCATTTTTATTTTTCCCGGTTGCCATGGAAACGATTCAGACTTAGTCTCAAAAAGGAGAGGTGGGCTTCGTTTCCGGAGCAAAACACGAAACTTCTTAATATCTTTCAGCAAAACTTGGCAGATATATGAGACAGATCTTGAAGTGGTGCCTTTTGCTATTTACAGATTTTTTTGGTCATTTTTATTTTTTTCGGTTTCCATGAAACGATTTGGACTTAGTCTCAAAAGGGAGGGGTGGGTTACGTTTCCGAAGCACAACTCGAAAACTTCGTAATATCTTTCAGCAAAACTTTGCAGATATGTGAGGCAGATCCCAAAGTGGTGCCTTTTGCTTTTTACAGATTTTTGTGATTTATTATTTTCTCGGTTTCCATGGAAATGATTCGGACTTAGTCTCAAATGGGATGGTGGGTTTTGTTTCTGGAGCACAACTGGAAAACTTCTTAATATCTTTCAGCAAAACTTGGCAGATATGTGAGGCAGATGCCAAAGTGGTGCCTTTTTGCTATTTGGCAGAATTTTGACATATTTATTTTTCCTGGTTTTCATTGAAACGATTCGGACTTAGTCCCAAAAGGGAGGGGTGGGCTTCGTTTCCGGTGCAAACTCGAAAAGTGTTCATTTATCTTTCAACAGGACTTGGCAGCTATATTATGCAAATTTTGAAATGGTGCCGTTTGCTATTTACAGATTTTTGGCATTTATATTTCACATAATTTCCATGGAATTGATTTGGACTTGGTTTAAAAAAAAGTCAAGTAACTGTCAGATGATTTGTTCTTTCAAATATGTGGGGGCCGGGGGGATATGTCATCTTCTGATGACTCTTGTTTCTGTTTTCATGGCAACAATTTGGACTTAGTCTTTTTCAAGGGTAAAGTTCGTTTCTGCAATTAATTGGCCCATGTTCACCAAATTTGCCATACTGTCCCTCCATATCATGTAGAAGTGCCTTTTAGGGGTTTGAACTTTTCTTTCAATTTTATATTTTTCCTTATCCTGACTCATGTTTATTTGCTTGTCTTCTTCTTCTGGCGAACCTAGTGGAACACTTGTATCTCCCAATTGAAGTTCCCTTCAATAAAAAATCACTCATTAGTACTGACCACGAGTTACCTCCCTTCCACAAGCGCGGGAACGAGGGCGCCACCTGAACCCATGTGCCTCACTCTCTCCTTCTTCGCCCAGTGAGCTGGATGTGAGAGCACCTGTGTCTCCCAACACACATATCCTTTATTTAAATCTAGTTAAGTTCCTCTTATACGTTAGTATAGAGGTAGTACTAGTATATTTATTCAATTTGCATTGATTATTAATTGTGTTTCTGCTGTTTTATTCACGAATTGTCGTGATTGTTCAGTAGGCTACATTGATGAAAATTTGCACAGAATGTAAACTATGTTATTCTGAGATCGATCCTCATTTAAAATGCCCTAGCTGCATTACTCCATGTTCCTTTGATTCTCGTTGTAAATTGTGTAACAATTTACCTATCTCTGCTTTTGACAAATATTTATGTTCCGTTTACAGACGGAAGGCAGATAAATCTCGTAGACAGAATTCAAACATGGCTAATAGATCTCAAATTAATGTTTCATGTCAACTGTTGACTGAGGACTCGTCACCGGTTGGTGGCATACCTGAGTTTCCCTCGGCGGATAAGCGTGGGACGCAGTCCGCTATGTCCAAGAAGCGACCTGCATCTCAAGAGCTGCCGTCGTCTCAGTCCAAGTCGAGGAAACCAGCCACATCATCTCGTACTCTACGTACTCCAAGATCTACACCGTCATCTAAAGGGAAGTCAACTAAATCTAATAAATTTGCTTCTGATATCTTACCAGTTACAGAATTAGCATTATATGATGATGATATGCCTATTATCATTCCAGAAGTTCGTCACAAGAAACGGCCCGTTTCTGCGACTATCACCTCTGCGCAGACGGACACACAACCGGAGATGCCGACGCTATCACCAATACATCTATCTGAGGGTCCCGTCACTTCTGCAGAGAGACATCCCTCATCAACGCAGAGCGTCCCAGATGACTTGATCAACCACATTATGAGAATGATGGAACAACGCTACGGCCTCGAGAGCCACGGGCCCCAGAGCCCACCCCATACTAAGTCATACAGGGCCCCAGAGCCCGCCTTGACTTCGCGTAGGGCCCCTGAGCCCACAGACGCGCCTCCGCGAAGGGCAACCCTGCCCGGAGTGAGCTCTTTGCATAAGGTATCCCAGGCCTACTCCGAGATGGAGCTAGAGTCTGACCTTTTACAAGAGGCTTCGCGGAGAAGGAGTGTTTCGCCTAGCACGCACCTTGTCATGTACGAAGGGCGCTCGCAAAGCAAACACTCATATGTCGGATCGGACACTGACTCCAGACATTTGCGCAAGACGCGCAGGCTAAGTGGTTCTACAACGCCTAGAAGACGTTCGTGCAGCCCTCATCGTCCGAGAAGCCCACAGCGTCTGCGAAGCCATCACCGGTCGCGTAGCCCACAGTCTCCGCGAAGGATGTTCTCTCCAAGATCTGCATACACTAGCCACTCGTCAGTCCGTTCTCCTCAGTCCTCACATAGATCTTCTTACAGATCGAGGTCTCCGACATACCACCATACGTCTGAGGAAGACGATGGTGTCATATTCTCACAGGCTGAGATAAGGTATTGGATGGTAAATGAATTACAACTGGCCTCTCCCTCCAAGAACGAGGATACAGCCCAAACTTACCTGATGAAAGATGATGACGTAGATCATATCACCATACCTCCTGTGGATCCTATCGCAGCCGTTCCCGCTAAATTGGATACAACTTTCTCCAAATCTACTAAATCCCATCTTCCTCACTTACCGATCTTCAATGCCAAGCATTTCTATGGACATAATATGGAGCCTTTTTTTCAAGACTCAGGAGATTGATGAAAACTTCAAGATTATCAGTGATTCCAAGTCTAGAAGTTATAGGATTGACGATCGCAAGATGGGCCAGTTAGATACCTTTGCCAGAGCCGTCTACAAGCCTACGCGAAGACATTTGCACAGGCTACTTACAACGCACAACGTCGCTGTATTAATTTATCAACGGATGAAGAGCCTAATTAGGGATCTTCAAGCCGACTACCTACTACGATACGATTATCTACATGCGTGACCATTACGCAGATCTGCCGACAATTCAAACGAAATTGAACGGCAGTCTTGTTACACGGCGAGTAAAACTCATAATCGTCAACGATTTCCTCAGAAGTAATATGTACAACAAGTTCAGCCTTAACAGTCTACAAGCTGACAACTTGCAAGGTTATTGAACCTTATATAAGGAAGTCGGAATTATCTTCAAGACTGAAGTTACTTTCACGACAGCCTGGAAAATAACTTATCCAGCATTAATATTACAGAGCGAGGTATTTCGCGCCGGAGGTTTCGCGCGTTTACCATCAACCCTCGAAACACGTGGTCACTCGGGTAACTTCGGGAAGTTACGGTGAAGACCGACGATTGTTCTAATATCAACGACGGCACTATATTATACAAGGTTCCTTTCCTGATACACCGGTGACGTCACAGCGCGGGTACTCTACAGAATCAAAATGCCTTGTTCTGATTGGACAGAGATGGACAACGCCCTACGCAGAGGTCGATCATAGTTCACAGTTCAACCCATAGGTTGCAAGTGACAACAATATATCAGTGAACGAGCTAGCCTCCTTACAGTCCAGCTAATCTAAACTTTCATGATTGGGCTGCCTTCTTGAGGTTAGAGACCTCCCCTGTCAAGTAAGGACGAGGACACGGCAGTCAGACGATTTTTTACATAAGTTCAACGATGGCAGTCACCCCTGGTTATGCATCTACATCGTCAATCACTTCGCAGCGAATTTACCTCGACGACGGGATACAAATGGATCCAAATCCATAGCGTCTCAGACTACAGTTGAATTCATCATCAAGCTACTAACACAACTAGATGGTTAGTAAACCTACTTAAGTTGGACCTAGAACCTTCGCAAGATCTGCTATTCTAGGTTTTGTTTTGTAACGGCGCAGAATCTTATAATTGTACCGGAGGACCATGGATCAAGATCCAACAGTCATTTCCACAAGCCTTACTATCTCCGCTTCCACTACGTTAGTGACAGAGTCTGTTGGGGTTACGCACTTCAGCTCAGCTCAAGACATAACAGACAGAGGCAGACTACAATTACATCCGTTACAAGTCATCAGCAATTCGCATCTAGACGAATCTCTACCGTTCAATCATCGGTTCAGGCCAAACCTCATCTGCTATGATGCACCTAGAGATCGAATGTTTGAATAGGCGTCTCGTTAATAGAGCTGGAATCGATAACACTTCTCTACGTAGATGTGTCACTATAAGGTTGGGGAGCCCACCTTTCCGGCAGGACAGCGTCAGGTCTATGGAGCATTCAAGAGAGCTTATGTCACATAAATCTGCTAGAGATGCAAGCAGTCATAAACGCCATAAATCACTGGAGCAACCTATTACAGAACGCTCAGTTAATGATTCATACAGACAACTCCACAGTGGCGTTCTATGTGAACAAACAAGGGTCAACAAGATCACTAAATCTACTCACTCGATGTTTCAAACTGTTCGATCTAGTCGACAGTCTAAACATACGTATCAAAGCCTGCCACATTCCAGGAGCAAAGAATGTATTAGCAGACGCTCTCTCTCTCGGCCACACCAACCATCGCCGACAGAATGGATGCTCCACACAGAAATATTCAATCAGATAATCATGGAAATAGGATCTCCCCTGATAGATCTATTTGCCACTCGATTCAACAATCAACTGACAACCTTCGTATCGCCAATGCCAGACCCACTATCATGGGCAACGGACGCACTAAGCATATCGTGGGAGGGACTAAACGCATACGCCTTCCCGCCTCCTGCGTTGATCCCACAAGTCTTGCGAAAAATCAGTCAAACGAAGAGCCTCGATCTGATTTTGGTCGCGCCTTACTGGCCAGCGAGAACGTGGTTTCCAGACCTCATACGAAGAATCGGAAAACCAGTACTTCAACTCCCACTGCGCTCCAATCTACTGATACTTCCGCACACCAAACAAGTGCACAACACACCAGAAGCATTCCAACTTCACGTGTGGATTGTATCAAGGCGTGTCTGAATAACAAGTTATTCAGCCAGAGCGGCAAAGCAGTCTAACTTGCCCTGCGTAACTCAACTGGCAACTTATACGATGACAAATGGCACAGTTTTGTCAATTATGCTGCAAAGGAAGGATTTACAGCTAGATATGCTACTCATCCTCAAGTGGCGGACTACTTATGTTATCTACGTCAGACTAAGATTTTATAAGGCTCAACTTGTCCACCTATCTTGCAGCAATAGCTCTATCATAACTGATAACGGGCGTCAAGTTCTAACCCAGTTACTCGCCTTGCTACGAGCTTTTCCGATTGGAGGATTAAACGGAAGTTCACACTCCAACTTGGGATTTGAATATAGTGATCCAACACCTCACAAGTGAGGTTTATGAACACACTTTGATGATATACTAGGACCCCATGATACGATGAATCTATCACGATGGCCAGTAAGAGCACTGAAAATATATCTCCACCGAGCCAAACAGGAGGGATAAATGCAAGAGATTATTTCCTCTATCTAGCTACGTAGACAGAAGTCTCACGTACTATCTCCTTTTGGATCAGAACTGTCATACTACGTGCCTACAAGACTGCAGGATCGACCCTCCATGAGCTTCTAATCCTGATGATATTAGAGCGCTAACATATGCTTTTGAAATATGGAGGGTTATTTCTGGAGATCCGATATGGTGTTTGCCAACCACTATCTGAGAGATATCACCACCGAGGACGTCTCAGGTATCCACCAATTCGGTCCCATGGTCCTCGCACAACAGTTGACAGTTCCTCGGAGAAGATAAGTCAATCTTACAGATTTTACTTATCTTATAACAGTACTAAATAGCTACATGCTATATATATTTTGCTTAAGCTCTTTTATTATCTTAAGCTCAGTACTATGATTATTATATCATACAATATATAAGCTAACAACTCTACGGAGTTTGTTTTTATATATTTAGCTTAAGTTAATCATATCTTAAGCTCAGTACTATGGTTACATTATAAATGTATAAGCTAACAAACTCTACAGAGTTTGTTTTTGCTATTATATATGTAGCTTAAGTTCATTATATCTTAAACACAGTACTATACTCATATCATAAAAATATATTAGCTAACAAACTCTACGGAGTTTTTTGCTATTATATATGTAGCTTAAGTTTATTCATATCTTAAAGCTCAGTACCGTGTTTATATTATATATAAGTATATTAGCTAACAAACTCTAAAGAGTTTTTTACTATACATATACTTAGCTTAAGTTTCATCATATTTTAAGCACTATGGTTACATTATAAAATGTAATAGCTAACAAACTCTACGGAGTTGTTTTGGCTATTTAGGTTGCTTAAGTTAATTATATCTTAAGCACAGTTCTATAATCATACTATATATATGCCTACAACTCTTAGGAGTTCTACTATTATATATATGTTCAGCTTAAGTTTCAATCCTTAAGCTCAGTCATATGTTCATTTCATAACATATATTAGTTAACAAACTCTCAGTAGTTGGTTACTATTATACAGCTTAAAGTATCATTATACCTTAAGCACAATTCTGTTATAACTTACATATATGCATATTGTAAGCTTACTACTTTGGTTCTATAAAAGTATTCATTATAAACTATCAACAGTTTATACTATCACATTAATAGCTTTTGCTTAATTAATGTTCTATATACTTTTATTATATTCAGTAAATTGTAATAACCCTTATATGGCAACTGATAAGTTAACAGCAGGAATTCAGTTCAGTGCCTTCATGAAGTTCCCTTAGGGTTATTACAATTATCTCAGTTCAAATCACTAATTAGTAAAATCCAAAGTATATATAATCCCACCTCCTATTCCGTAGGATTCTACAAGCAAATAAACATGAGTCAGGATAAGGAAAAATATGAAATTTTTAGAGTAAAATTAATATTTTTATACTTATCCTGACTCATGAGGTAAGCCCTCCCGTCCTCCCCACTTAACACTTTGGATTTCCCTGGAAATTCAGGTGTTGGGCTCAGTATATGAGGAGAGAGTGAGGCACATGGGTTCAGGTGGCGCCCTCGTTCCCGCGCTTGTGGAAGGGAGGTAACTCGTGGTCAGTACTAATGAGTGATTTTTTATTGAAGGGAACTTCAATTGGGAGATACAAGTGTTCCACTAGGTTCGCCAGAAGAAGAAGACAAGTTGAAATAAACATGAGTCAGGATAAGTATAAAAAATATTAATTTTACTCTAAAAATTTCATTCTTGATGGCCATCATACCCTTCTTAATGTTGCCCTGTTTAGGGTTGAAGAAATTAACCGTAACAGTGATGAGGCGGGCTGATCATCGTTTTCGCTATCACTAGCATCTGGCTCGAACAAATAAGGCCTAACGATACCAAGCAATTTTGACAGAATCGTCTATGAAAACAAGTTGTAACTCGGAAACTAGGCAAAGCAGGAGACAAAATTATATGACAGTACATTGTGAGAACATATAGCTTTCATTTTTCACAACAGTTGTCACGATTTCAGGTTTTCAAAACCTGTAAACAAGATAATTTACCCCCTGAAATGTACATGAATTCTGCATCGGCCCTCATATCTATTCCTCATATGACGTCATAGAGATGCGCAGCTCTGATTGGTTGAAATTTGTTCGCGGGTGAGAATTGTGCACTGTTGTCAAAAAGGTTGATTTAAAGTTAATGAGTAGTTTTAATGATCGGGTTTCATTTAATGCCAATTTAAGATCGAAATGAGTAGTGTATAGAGTATATGTGATCTTTAAGTGTTCACTCGTCACGCAGAAAATCCGGGTTCGATTCCCAACATTGGTACAATGTGTGAAGCCCCTTTCTGGTGTCCCTCACTGTGATATTGTTGGAATATTTGCTAAAATATTTGATGTCTCTGGAACAAAGGCATTTAGCTGTCTGAGAGTGTTCATTGCTGGAGTCAGCTGTGGGTGTTGTGTGACAGGTTCCTGGAGAAGTACACTATGGACGTGATAGCTGGGACTGCTTTCGGCATGGAGGTCAATGCTCTCGAGAACGAAGACGACCCTTTTGTCAAGAACGCCAAGACCATCCTGTCTAATGGCCTGAACTCAGCTTATATTGTATTTATCAGTAGGTTGTCTTCTGTAATGTGTCTTTATACTGTTGTATATATAATAGAAAGAAGGGAACACCAGCTGAGGAAAACATAATCATTGAGCCATTTAACGAACGTTTTAAATACTAACATTTTTCTCAGGGATTTAGGTTGAGATGGCATGTTTGAATGAATACAACAGGAAATTATTTTATAATTGATATGTGTTCTTGATTGGTACAATATGTATACGATTGCTGAACATTCCACTCAATGTGTTTGTCTTTCCGGGTTAGAATATTGATCTTCAGTAACCCATGCTTGTCGTAAGAGGTGACTAACGGGATCGGATGACTTGGTTGATACATGTCATCTGTTCCCAACTGCGCAGATCGATGCTCATGCTGTTAATCACTTGATTGTCTGGTGAAGACTCAATTATTTACAGACCGCCGCCATATAGCTGGAATATTGCTGAGTGTGGCGTAAAACTAAACTCACTGACACACTCTCTAGACTACTGATTTTATATTATAATTAGTTACAGTGATGAGGCTGTGTTTTGATTTGAACATCATCAGGGATGACGTAAAACATCATTGTTCACTATTTCAGCCTTCTTCCCCTTCCTCATTCCACTGACCTCGATGCTTGGCTACCATTTGTTCCCTGAGTCCAATATGAACTTCTTTGTCAAGGTGACCAACAAGATTCTTGAAGACAGGAAGACTGATCCATCGGTAAGAATAGAATGGCTACTTTAACTTAATCGAGTGGATGGAATCTCAGGGCAGAGTAGGTCATCAGTAACATTTCCTTTTCATGGGAGATGGTTACATTTGTAATCTGTTGTCCAAGAATAGCCTTGGGTGTGGGCTTAATGTGGGAAGAAAGTCAGAATGATGCAGCCTAGCTTAGTCTTAATCCCCTTTGGAGAAACTTATGACCATTGTCATGGTGCTGGCAGACCAAAGATAGGAATGGACATGGGATTCAAACGCAATGGCAGTACAAAAAGCATTATAATATAGAGGCAGTTATAAGAGGAATATAGATAATGATGATAATATTCACCTGTCTGCGACAATGGTGAAGCTTCCAAAAGAGGCAGAGGCTGAGAAATATAGGTGAAAAGTGATCTGGTCTTGATGTAATGTAAGATAAAATGTAAGATGTCATGTGAAATGATCGAGGCAAGCATGTGCCCCCTATATATACATAAAAAGCTACTGAAAGTTTCTGTTTTAGAACTTTGTCTAAACACACTTGGGCTGACTGTTAGAATGTTCCAGATGCTCCAGAAATCTCTTAACTCAGTTAGAACATTGTTCCACAATGAATTACACTGCCACATAACAATGTTGTAGACAAGCTTCAGGTACAGTGTTTTGCTCTGTTGTTGGTTGTGTAGAGCAGCAAATACTCCGACTTCATCCAGCTGATGGTGAATGCAGAGGAGGAGAAGCGCCAGACTATGCAACAGAATGGTGGAGACACTACTGGCAGCAATGGCCAACCCGCAGGTAAGCTGTAGCCCTTTGAGTTTCTTCCAAGAAGTATAATTCTGAGACTTGCCCAAAAAGTTCAGGAATGATGTGTGCAACTTCAGGTATGACCAGGGATGAAATTTGTGCGAATGCGCTGCTGTTCTTCATCGCTGGCTACGACACAACAGCATCCACCATGTCCTTCTGCGTGTACAACATCGCCACCCACCCCGAGGTGCAGGATCGGCTGGTAGCTGAGATAAAGACTGTGTTGAGGGACCAAGAGCCAGATTATGACAATATTCAGAAACTGGAGTACCTGGAAATGTGTTTGTTAGAGACACTCAGACTTCATCCAGCATCTGTCAGGTAGGCTTAATGATGGAGAGGTGTCTGTCAGAGATGCTTCTGTCAGGTAGTAGATCTCATAGAGATGTATTTGAGGTGTACATTATTATCAACCTTTTATATAGATAATAATATAGACTCATATAGATTTTCCAGTGACACATCTGTCAGAGTCATTCAAAGGTCTACCAAAGTGTATTTCAATTTAGATAGTTCATGGTTGTTTAGAGAGACATGGGTGGTTGTATCTATGTTAGCTTATAATTCAGGAATCGGTAAATATCCAGAGAAAGGCATCTTACACCTTCAAATAGAATGACTGGTTGCAAATATACAACTGTTAGCAGCAGTTTGAGTGGGGAATATATGAAATGTATGTTACATGTTAGGGTGGTATATTGAAAATAGATGAACCGGCCTCAGCTAATCAGAATCTCACTTTCATGTGTCAGATGAATGAGATAAGGTAAGGATAAGTTTGAGAAACAGGAAACAGGATGGGTGAGACTTGTTAGGAACTGTTGCCAGGGTGATGATGGGTGAGACTTGTTTGGAACTGTTGCCAAGGTGATGATAGGTGAGACTTGTTTGGAACTGTTGCCAGGGTGATGATGGGTGAGACTTGTTTGGAACTGTCGCCAGGGTGATGATGGGTGAGACTTGTTTTGAATTGTTGCCATTGTGATGATGGGTGAGACTTGTTTGGAACTGTTGCCAGGGTGATGGATGACTTATATATTCCAACTGTAGGGTTAGGAGATGGGTGTTTCCCATTATTCCCTACATGATATTATGTGTAGGAGATTTTTCTTGAATTTGCTCCAGCTTAATGTTGGTGTGTAAAACTTGTATTTCCAACTGTAACCAAGGTGATGATTGGGGAGGCTTGTTTCCAATTGTAACCAAGGTGACAATTGGTTAGACTTGTGTTTCCTACCATTACTGCAGTATTGATGTGTGGGTCATGTGTTTTCTAAATCTGCTGGTTAATGTTGGTGTGTGAGAATTGTTTCTTACTGTTTCTAAGGGTGGATCGAATGTGTACCAAGGACATGGAGATCAATGGCGTGAAAATCCCCAAGGGCATGACCGTAGGGATTCCCATCTACGCCATCCACCATGACAGTGACCGGTGGGAGAACCCGGAGGAGTACGACCCAGAGAGGTACGCTGATAAATGATCTCACGTGACTGCCAATTGTGTGTTTGTGCAAGGGAACAGTTAGTAAAGTCCTCAAGGCTTTGTCAGCAGAGTTTAGCGTCAGCTTTAAATGGTCCTCCCCTGACCCCTGAGCAGAAAGTTTAGCGTCTGCTTTAAATGGTCCTCCCCTGACCCCTGATTTGTATTTCCTTTATATTAAAATACACCCAACCTGAAACGGAATTCCATTCCTCCGTCCATTTGTTGTTCAACCAATAACTTGAAAACTATTAGTTGGATTATTTTCAAAATTTGAGGCCTCCTTTCACACAAGGCACTAGTTACAATGTCTCACTTTCACACTAGGCACTAGTTACAATGTCTCACTTTCACACAAGGCACTAGTTACAATGTTTCACTTTCACACAAGGTCACTAGTTACAATGTCTCACTTTCACACAAGGCACTAGTTACAATGTCTCACTTTCACACAAGGCACTAGTTACAATGTCTCACTTTCACACAAGGAACTAGTTACAATGTCTCACTTTCACACAAGGCACTAGTTACAATGTCTCACTTTCACACAAGGAACTAGTTACAATGTCTCACTTTCACACAAGCTTATGTTGCTATTTCCAACGATTAATGTGGGCTTTCTATTCTGCTTCTAACTAGTTACATGACAATTTGTGTTCATTTTCTTCATGTTCCTCTAGATTCAGTGCTGAGAACCGGAGTATGCATGGCCCATTTGACTTCCTCCCGTTTGGAAATGGACCCAGGAACTGCATTGGAATGAGGCTTGCTTTAGTGGAGGCAAAGATAACACTTATCAAGCTTTTCAAGAACTTCAAATTTTCAACATGCTCAAAAACACAGGTAGGTATGTCATGAGAGAAAATGATAGTGTATTGTGTTTTGGCTAATAGACCTATCAGAATTTCCATAAAGTTTGGTGTGGGCCATTACCCATGAATGATCCAATCTTTGACATATCCGACATCCAGAGACAGAAACGAGGTTCTACACAAATACACTGTCTTGTATATCATGTACAGCAGAAAATAATTAATAGTTATTTATACCAAGCTCAACATTTGTTTGATTGACTTGTCTACATCTGGTAATGAAAGTAGTTGGTTATAAATAATATGTTTATGTTGCATTTTTTCTTTGTTAATAGGGTGGTGGGGTAGCCTAGTGGTTAAAGCATTTGCTCATCACGCCGAAGACCTGGGTTCGAATCCCCACATGGGTACAATGTGTGAAGCCCATTTCTGGTGTCCCTGCTGTGGTATTGCTGGAATATTGCTAACAGCGGCATAAAACCATACTTACTCACATTCTTTATTAAGAGCCTCCATTAACTTTACAGATCCCTCTGAAGTTCATGCCAGCTGCTCTTCTGCGACCTACACATGGTCTCTGGATCAGCATTGAGAAGAGGTAGAGTACTGTCTTGTATGTATGTACTGACAGACTCGGGCCCAGACACCAGCTTTTGTACTTCATGTATTAACATAACCTTTACTTTGTTGTTGATGATGTGAATTGTCACAGTCATATCTCACTTAATTGCCACCTTTTTGGTATTTGGATTCTAATGTGACTTAAAACAGCTTTAATCTTTCAATGGCAGTTCATAAATGGTGATAAAAATATTTATCAAATGAGTAAATATATATATTTTTTCATGTTTATTTTTGTTATTTAGCAAAACATCCATCAAACTGTTTGGTGTTTTTCCAAAGCTTTTGAAACTGTGTGACATCTCTGAAAAATGTTATTATCAAACATGTATTCCAAGAACCAATATATCTCTGTACACCTTTTGTTTTCCACTGACCACATGAATAGATCCTCTGTATGTTGTTTGTTTTGTGATGTTAACTATAGAATGTTTTAGTGTATAACACACTGGTAGTTTTCCTGTATTTAACCTTGAATGTTAATGATGACATTCTACTTTATCTTACCTCACACTTAAATGTCGCTTTCTGATTGGCTGAGCGTGCTTCTAATATTTTCAATGTACTCCGCTTACAAGCGAGTAACATTTCAATGTACCCCGCTGTCAATGGCAACTCATTTGGTACTTCGTGGTAGTAATTCTTTATCTCAAATAACATTGAATCGCGTATGATGTTCGGAAATTACTGATGTTTTGCAAATGCAAATCGATGGAAGGGAGATAACTCTAAATCTGTTTTTCTTGTCAGCAAAATCTAGCGATGGCTGCAAAAAGATTTGTACCCGTGCTTCAAACAATTCAAAATTAACATTAAGGTGTTCGGTATAATATCAAGTATTATCTATTAATATGTATCAATGTTATATCTTTTATTTGATCGTCACAATATGGCTGAAATACTGCCAATGTGATTTTAAATTTAACTCACTCACTGACTTTAATTTGATTAATGGATAATTTTTATCCAACTACATCAATATAATTTGAAACATATGTATTTTTCCAAAGAAAGGATTCTCATTTTGTCCACCACTTTAGTTTTAAATTCTTTTCATTCCATGATTATCTGATAACATCTGTAATTTGTTTGTGACCATCATACTAACTTGATGTAGATTATAACAGGATTTTAACAGTTGTAATGGTTTGGGGTAAGGGGAACTGTATTTGTTTAATTTGTAATTTCAAACTGTTAAGGTTGTTTGAGTTTTTGAATTTTAATTATCTATTTCTGAATAGATTTTAATGAAGGGGTTTATGTTTTCAATTTTTACCATCATTTGGGGATTTGGGCCACTCGACAATTAGCCAATAGTACTGGCAAAAAGGAGGATTTTTCAATGATTAACAATTTAACACACAGACAATACTTGGTGCTGTATTTTATGGTAGATAGAATGTATCAAAGTTTTTATTCAGCATTATAATTGGCAGTTTTCCATGCTGGGCAGTGGAAAATTCAGTAAAAATGGTGCTTTTTATAGTTGGTAGAATCTATCAATTACTGACTTGGTTTTTGTCTTCGCCTTTCTTGGCAATACTTGAATAGTCTTCCAGTTAGACTTTGATTTTGAAATCTAGTTAGTACGAATGTCTGTGTTTCTAAACCCATGGAGGTAGCGGTAAGATTGTGATACAGAATGCATTATCAGGAAAGTATATGTTTCCATGGAATCTACCTTTGTTTGGTAGGTCAGTGTCTTATGTTTAGATATGATGAGTGCTCAAGTATAGACGTCTCGTCCCATGTAGGGAACATATAATGAGGCATTTATCTGGAACTGCTCATAGGCCGATATTTGCCTCTATATCTACAGCTCATGTCAGTAAAAGTTCCTTGACTTGAGTATGTGTCAAGATAGAGTTAAGAGGTTAAGACTTGTTATTTTTCTTTAATAATGGGACCAACAAAGAAGACCAGGCTTAGAAGATTAACCTTAGATTTTTTAAAGAAAATATAGATTTATGAAAACAGTCCACCTTGGACCAGAGTAACCTTTATTCCACTTTATGCTTACCAAGGGCACTTAGTTTGGTATCTAAGATAAATCCCTGATAATGTTGCAGTCAGCAAAAGGAAGGAGAGTTATTTTTCCATGTATTTTCAATTTGTCATTCATTTTGGGTAGTTAAAAAAATGTCCAGGGCTTTTTAGTTTTGATGAGTTGATTTATAATGTTTTGCACAAAAAATGCAATTAAGAAAGTTGGAAAAACCTCATGTAATACAAGACTGACAGGTATTTGATTGATGGCAGCCATTGCACCAGTTGTGAAGAGTGCCTTATGAAACCCACCCAAGGGGCCTGCATTGCAAAGCAATGATTGATATTATTTTCATGGTTTGATGTTGTGTATTCTGTGTGTGAATTCAGAAATAGATGGACGCATGCCATTTTCTTTCCTATTGTTTATAAAGCATTAACTGTAAATGCACTGTAATAAGGGCCCATTTGACCTATGTGGTCTGCATAATTTAAGAAATGAGGAAATCGTTCAGAAATTGTTATTATTGTTATTAGACGTTCTTATGAATGGTAATTACTTTCATTTCAACAACAGCATGTTTGTAACTTTTAACCAGTCGATGTGTATGTGTAAGGCTGACATGTGTCAAGATGGAGTTAAGAGGTTTTTTGGGAAGTGTGTTTCTTAATTAGAACACGAGCTATCTTTGATCCAAGATTTCTGATGAGATGTAGGAAAAGAACACATATATATGGCACAAGATTGATCTTTGGTCTCCAACTAACATGCAGCTCATACCTAAAGTTTAATGAATTGGAATGTTCAATAATTTAAGTTATATGACATAATCATGTCAGAAGTCAAAAACAGGAGTGGAAAGGAAAAATGCTAGGGTTTTACATGTCTTACAATGTTAATGAAATCACAACTTTACGAACTGCAACTGTCTCAGGAGGTATAAAATACTGCTCAAGGCTGGCCCAATAAACTACACTCACTCCGAAACTAAGAATTTTCATAAAACTTTTATAAATTCACTTTGATAAAGTTAAAGGTAAGAAGTATGACTGATTGACAACTTCAGAGATTCATCCAAAAGCCTAATATTGTAATTTATTTTTGTACATAGTGTCTCCTGCACAACAGTGTTCATCTGACATACTGACAGCCAGCCAGACTGATGCAGTCTCATTTTAGATATGATAGCAAACCAGTTGATATTATAGAAAAGATTATCACATGCTGATGGTTTCAAAAACATATGATTGCCAATTATTACCCTTTGTCCTAACATGTTATATGATAAATATTCTAAGTTGATATTTGTTTTTTTTTTGATAATACTCAGATGATTATGTACTGGTATTCATTTCTATGTGTAAATATTTTGTGAACACATTGAAGATCGGGACAAGAATAACCCAACTATGTATTTGGTGCCATTATCTGCACAGGTAGGACTTTGGTTCCTGGAAGTCCAGGACCCTCTTGATGATGAGTGTAGTTTTGACATACGTCATTGCTGTCTGTCTCAGTATGGAATTTCTACAGAACATGGCCAACGTTCTAGCCTTGATAAAGCAGCATTGTCTTTAAGAGACGATTGTAAGAGATTTTCATTATTCCTTTTAATTGATTAGGCATCACCAAACAGTCCAGTAAATATAGAGTAGAAGAGCAAAACAGTTTGTAAATCTGTTGTACATTGGACCATCTGTTTCAGGTTTATTGGGTGAATTCATCTTGGTGCACTTAATGTCTGGTTGAGGGGCGGTGGGTTAGCCTAGTGGTTAAAGCGTTTGCTCGTCACGCCGAAGACCCGGGTTCGATTCCCCACATGGGTACAATGTGTGAAGCCCATTTCTGGTGTCTCCTGCCGTGATATTGCTGGAATATTGCTAAAAAGCTGCGTAAAACCATACTCACTCACTCACTCACTAATGTCTGGTTGATGGTGTTATTAGCTTGTATGAACAATGAACTCTCTTTAATCTGGATATCCAGAAAGGATAGGGTATTTTGGCCAACATTATCTGCAGAATTTACGTAATGATCAAAGCTTTGAGAATCTGTATGAAATTAGCTAGATCAATGTCATTTGCCATTTTTCTTCCCAACACTTGCCTGTTGACAGGATACAAAATGTAGAGTTTAAAATTGATAAAAATGACAGGAGCTTTCAGGAAGTCTTTGGGCCAAACATATTTCCCAGTTGACATGTCTCTTGGGCCAAATGTCCCAACTCAACCTTTCCTCTTTAAAATGGGTACAAACCTTCAAGAACTAGTATACATGGGCGGTTCTAACAGTTGTCAAGTAGGCGGGAATTATCGGGGGTCGGGAATACGATGAACTTCATACATGTTCAGGTAGGCAAAGAGAAACTGAAACAACTTGAAGCGTCAGTAAAATATGTTGAAGTGTTCACACTACCTCGTGGTCAATGTAATGTAGTAAGATAGAGCATGGGTACCATTTTTTGGTACCATCGCCTGGACTAGTTTTTGCGCCGTTTCAAATTTTCAAAGCACACCCGAGCATCACGTTGAGCATGGAACTCACGTGAATTACGCACTGTGGGAAGAGTACTATTAGCTGTAAAAAAAGATCACCTGCTCCTTTAAGTGGCTTTGAGAGGCTGGTATGACTAAGAGGAACGTGTTTTATGGATTGACAACTTCTTATTTGCAATAGATCCGACGATTCGGGGTAGATGCTAACAAGGTAATTATGACTTACTTGATAACGGTGTTTGCATCAACAACGAAACGTTGCATCTATTGCAATAAAGATGTTATGAAATACACAATGCCATTTTTAGAAAGTGTAATCCCAAATATAACATATGTTACAAATAAAGAAGTTGTCTATCCATAAAACTTGTTCCTCTTCAGGATCATGCGCTGCTTTACCAAACGTTACCCTTACCATTAACTGCAGAGTGTCATTGAAAGTTGGTGAAAGTGACATCACAGACTCTTTCAGGGACGAAATTAGATATTGTTATCAGGTGAGATTGTTATAGTTTAATAGGAGGTTTCTTCTGTGTTTTTCCGTTTAGTGATTTTTCATTGCGATTCCCTACATATGTTTAATGCGTGAAGCCCATTTTTGGTGTCCCCCTCCCGCCGTGATCGTGCAGGGATATTCATGATATTACTGCAAGCGACCCCGAATCATACTCACTCACTGTCTTCTAACATTAAACTGACACGACGCCATCAGAAAACTGTTTAAAGCCGTATTAAAATCTCTCAGACAATTTACATTTTGAATTTGAATGTGCCCAAGATGGCCATGTACGAAAACCTGTATCATCAAGATAGATGTTGGTAATAGGTCCCTTTAAGCTTTAAGAAATTATTTTCACTTTAATCACTTGTTATTGACGCACTGAATAACCAGACAGTGAAAGAAATCGCTTCTGATTTTAATGATATTGTACTTATTGTATGTTATATTTACTCTTAGAGTTGAAATAAACATTTTTTTATAATGTGTCTCATTTGTGTTTTAGCGTTCTTTAAGACCTCGTAAAGAAAGGACATCTTGTTCAAGTCATTTCTCTTCATAAAGAGTCGATCCTGAAATCACATAATCCTTATGAAAATTTCGTTT